CCTACCCTAAACCTTTTTTACCCAAAACATAACTAAAACATTTCATTACGTTTTCACATTTTTTTATATTTAACCTCTTTTTCATAAAATTTATTTCTTTTACCAAATTTTCTTTCAAAAAATTAAACTCCCTTTACTTTCCCCCGGGAAACCCCAAATTACCTCAAAATTTTCCAAACTTTTTCCCCCTTTAATTGAAAACCCCCAACCCCATTACTCCAACTTTTCAAAACCCCCCCCCAAATTTCACTCAACATTTCCCCCCTCTTTTACATTTTTCTCTCTCCGGGTGCTACCCCTTTTTCTATAACCCACTATAAACTTAAATTTTTTTTTATTAAAAATTATAAATTATATAAAATATTTTTTAATTTAAAAATTTAATTTTTGGTTAAACAAACCCCCTTTACAACTCCCCGTGAAGGGAAAAAACCTTTTTAATTTTTTTTCCCATAAATTTTTCTTTTTTTCATAAAACAAGTTTCATCTCTTGCTCTTTCCTTTTACACTTTCACACTCAATCCCTGTCAAACATTTTAAAAACCCCCTCGGGTTTTTCCTTTTTCTTTTAACTTTTCTTTTTATTCCTTTTTTTCTCCATAAATAAACAAATTCTTCCCCTAACCTGCTTTTAAAACACTAAAACCACAACCCTGTACCCCCTTTTCTCCCTGGTTTAAATTCCCCAAATTTTTTGGGGGAAAACTTTTTTTTTTTTTGGGGCCACCCCCCTCTTTTTACCCTTTTTAAAAAAAAGAAAAATAAATAATATTATATATATTTTTATAAGTATTGGAGAACAAAACCCCCAAAAAAACAACCTCCCCATAGTGAAAAACGAAAGGAAATTTTTTTAATTGAAATTCTTTTCCCTTTTTTCTGCTCATAAAGGGGGCAAATTTCAAGGACCTTCTACTTTCTACTTTACACTTAGGTCCACTCACTACATTACAACCATATTACACACCCCTCTTTTTCTTTTTTTCTTTCTATTCTATTCTTTTTATTTTTTTATTATAAATTTAAAAATTTTTTAAAAATTTTAAAATAAAATTTAAATTTATAATTTTTTTATAAAATTATAAATTTAAAAGGAGAAATTTCGTTTTTCCCCTTTGGGCCACCCTCCCCGGGGGGGAACGGCCGTTTTGAAAGAAAAAAAAAGAAAAAAAAAATATATATAAAATAAAAATATATATTTTAAAAATATATTAAAAAAATTTTTAATATATATATTATATATATTATTTTAATAAAAAATATAATAAAAATATTTTAAAAATATATATAAAAAATATTATAAAAATATATATATATATATATAAAAACACCACACCACACCACACACCCCACCACACACACACACCACAGTGGCCCCCCGAGTTTCGGCAGCATCGACTTTTGTAAAAATTCGACTTTTGGCAAGTTTTTTTGGCAAAATTGACCTCGAGTTTCGTGATTAGATCGTGATTGGGCGCCCGCCGGTATCCGTCACGGCACACAAAGCCAGTCTCCCAGCCTTTCCGCTAGTGTCCCCTTGTTTACCAACACGTGACCTCACCCGCGGGTTCACCATAAAATCCATTTTTTTTGTGTTGCAACTTTTTAAAAAATCCCCAGGGGCCCCAAGGAAAGCTAGTGAAACCCCTTTGGTAAAAAAAGCGAAACACGATCCAGGGGGGGAATTTAAAAGGGGTTTTTGAGGCAGCCCTGACCCTCCCGCCCTCTCCCTGTTGTGGAAGGTTTTGTGGCTTTGGGCAATCCGGGGGTTGGGGGGAAAGTGACGGGGATGGGAAGATTTTGGTGGAGGACCACAGGAAGAGCTAACCTGAGAACTGAAAAAGGTAAACGGGAACGCATAACCACAGCTAGGAACTTGCTTCAGAGGAGAGGAAAAGGAGTAAAGGAGGTGCCTTTTTTGGGTGATTAAGGCGTGTGTTCAAAGTGGAATGATTGCAAAGTTTTTTGAAAATATTCCCGACCAAGCGAAACAAGCCATATCTGCAAATGTTCAGTGAAAAAACCTTGTCCCATTCAGGAAAATCATAAAAAAAAGCTAAAAACCCAGACCCTCTCTGGAAGATTTTTTGTCCTGGATGTCCTTGTTGTCCTTTTTTACTTTGAAAATTTAATATTTGTTTCTTACATATATAAAAAAGAATGGAAAAGTAGTAAGTCTTTAGTAAAATTGAACATCAACATCTTTGAGGGGAGTCTTGTTAACTAAAAGGATTTTTTAAAATGATGCATGATAAAATGATAAATAGCACTTTAACCTATCAGCCTGTGTTAGGAAAAACAATTCATGACTTAAAAGTACACACATTATTGTTTTAACAATTTTAATCCCCATAATTTATTTTATTAGGTTAATTCATAAAATTCTTTCACATTCTAGAGGGGAAACAAAAGTAAAACAGATAATACCCCCCCTTCAGATGCAGGCATGATTTCCCATCTCCGATCAAATCCAGCCTGCCATTTCCCTGAATCCCTTCATAAAATGTTACCTTGCTCACACTCCAATAGCACGTCAAGTCCTAAAACCCATTTTTCTCCCTTCACCCTATCTAACACCTCATGCAGCTTGCTGGGAAGCCCAAGCCCCTCACACAAAAACCCCCTTTACCCCCTCCCTTCCCCCCTTCCCAGGGTGAAGGAGGAATGTTAAAAGTTGCAGTTTTTTAACTGTAGTGTAAGCCACCCCTGCAAGACAGTGGGATGAATGGTGCAAGTTCTTCTTTTTCGGCCCCCTACCTTTTGGGGAAAAGGACTTATGTTTAAAAAAAAAAATAATAATACAATAATAATAGTTGGGGAATAATGTGGGTTTAGATTGGTGTACAGTGTTAGCACAGAAGCGTATCAAAGTGTTTTTTTAATCTTTGAATTTTTTTTCAGCTAGCAATGCTCCTACCCAAATAAATTTTAAAATTTGTGCTAACATGAGCTACAAAGAATTTTTTTTTAACAAAATGGCCATATCCCACCAGGGAGGGAACCTAAAAAAAAAAGTTCCCCTTTTTTAAGTTTAGTTAAAATGCAGGAGAAAGGGTTTTACTAGCCCCTTCTCCACAAGAAAATTTTTTTAACACATTAGCCATTTTCCCCCGAGGCAGGGTGTCCTAAAAAAAAAAAAAAAACACATCAATCAAACTTTCACCATCACTCATACATAATCAGTCTTTGCAGAGGCACTCAGATATGACAGTTTAGATGTCCTTCCAAAGTGCCAATACCCAAACCCCTCCTTTAAAAAGCAGGAATTTTCTTTTCCTTTCCCGGACCAAGTCTGGCTAACGGACTTGAGTCCTGCCCACCCAACAGCTCGTCGGCCCCCCCAAAAACCCTTTGTCTCCATTCACCCCTACAGAATTTTTACCAAAAGATTTTATGTTATGTAAATATAAGTAATTATTATTATTATTATTATTATTATAACCTCTTGTCAATTAATGAGAAGTTTCCCTTCCTAAGACCCCGCGGTAAATGAATTCATTCAAATGAGGAGCATACTAGATGGAGTGGTTTGTGTGAACCATCTTTGATACTGTTTTAAATCCCTTTGCACCAGTTATAACATTTTGGGAATTTTTTTAAATTTTTATACAGTAGTGTTAAAAGTATTGTAATAAACAAATAGAGGAAATAGCCTTTTAAAATACTTTTTTAGGTATCATACTGGGAGAGAGCCCGTTGTAAGTTCGGTCATTGGTAAACGAGTACGCACTAAGCAAGGGAGGCGTATTGCATTATTAAAACTCTGGAAAGAATTTTATTTTAAAGACATGCTCCCCAAGGGGGGTTCCCTTTGCTCCTTTATGTTTTTGGGGGGCTCTTGATCTAAAGGGAAATTTGGCCTGTGCTCCAATTCCTGAATCGGTTAATGCCCTTCCCTTTCCCCAGGCGCGTGTGCTCCACAGGTTTAGGCTCTCCTGAATGTACTTTTTAAAAAAACAATGTGAAAACCAAGAAGAATAATCTTTATGTTCAAAGGGAATTTAATAATTTCTTCATATTCATAAAAAAATATTTTAAAACATAATTTTTTGTTCAAAAGGAAGCACCTGTGAATTTAGAAAATTACACCAAAAAAATTGGGGAACAAAGTTAAGTTGAAAATGAAAATTACGACGATGAAAAGTACTCAAGGTGGATCCCGATGGGGTTTGGGGTTTGCAGGGGGCAACCCAACTGGACGATGAAGAATCCAAAACCCGATTTTCCTATCAGACGAGGATGAGGGTGAAAGCAAGATTGGACATGAAGAATGGGCATAGTAAAGAGGTTTGACAAAATAATGCTTTTTTTTGGGTGTCTAGTAGATAGCAGTGTTTTTTTCACTCTAGCGGTTTGGTCCCTTTTTTTCTGTAATTACCACACCTGTTTTTCCCCTTGGAGTTTGCTGGGGAGGAAAGGAGAGGAGGAATTGAGTCTTAATTGAGATATCAACAACTTGTGGAAAACCGTGATTGAATTTAATGATGGTGAATGTGTTTTCTTCTTGTTTGTGTCACCTTGCCTTGGTGGGAGACTGCCACTGATATAAAATAATAATAATAGAGATTGTTGATTATCCAGCAGTCAGTTGTTTGGCTTCTAACTCTGTCACAACTAAGCAGATACTGTAAAACAAAGTGTTGTTCGTCTGGTGTACCTTCCCACTTGCAAGTGGCTGTATAATCAGTGATCTGTTGTAAGAATAGTTTCCAGAGAATAAACTATATCCTTGGTATGGATTTGTTAAAAGCATTTTCTGCAAAGTTCCAATTATGTGCAGAATTTCAGGAAATCAGAAAAAATCTCATATTCATCATTGTAATTAGTATACTCAAACACATTTTAACACATGATTGTTTATTGATAAAAAAGCTACCTTAGAACTTCTAGATCAATATTGTTGTGTAATCTTAAAGTGAATAGCATTACTGGTAGTCTCTAGTTACTAAGGCAGATATAGGTACTTGTACAAATCATATTATTTTGTAACTTTCAGATAGTGATTCTGGAGTTTCATCAAAGAGAAAACAAAAGAAAATGCAGCTGAGACATAAAAAAGGTAAGAAATATTTATTCATCTTCAGTGTTAAAATTTGTCTTACAAATCGAGATTGTTTGAGTTCAGTGTCACCACCTCTTTGCTGGGTCTTATTTCAATACTGGGTCACTTTACCTTGGTGACGAAGTTTGAACTTCCCTGATGCTGGGTAACCTTACCATGGTGACAAGGCTTGAACCTCCTAATGCTGGGTCACCTTATTCTGATGATGAGGTTTGAACCTCCTAATATTTATGTTACCATGATGAGGCTTGAACCTCCCAATGCTGTGTCACCTTGCCATATTGATTAGGCTTGAACCTCCTAATGCTGTGCCACCTTACCATGATGATGAGGCTTGAACCTCCTAATGCTTATTCACCTTACTATATGGCAAGGCTTGAACCTCCTAATGCTGGGTCACCTTACCATGATGACAAGGCTTGAATCTCCTAATGCTGGTAATAAAAGTATTCAGTGTGTTTTGCAAACTGTAATGATCACTTATATAGAATGTATATCATACAAAATTACCAAAACTGGTTAGCTGGACTTGAGTCCTGGAGTTGGAAAGGACAGTATCTTCACTCTGATGGAGGGATGGGGATGTTGTAGTTTGTAGAGTCATCTGAACTGTGAGGTCAGCATGCTTCCAGCAAGAGAGCTATTGGGTGAGTGATGGTGAATGAGTTTCCCTTCTTTTGAGTTGCCCTACCTCAGGAGATGGCTGGTGTGTTAAAAAATTATTAATGGAATTGGGGCATCACATAGTGAATTTTGCATAAAACAAACCCATATAAAGTGAGAGGAAACCTACATATAGGTTTATGTAACCTAACCTGAGGGCAATGTGTGGTGTGAATATAATGCAGAGAATTCGTAGTTTGGAAGTTAGGAGGAGGTGCCGGATTACCAAAACTGTTGTCCAGAGCTGATGTGAAGGGTTGGAGCTGTATCGGATCATGATGCAGAATGGCAGCGAAAACAGAATGACTTCAAGAGTGTATCAGTCTGTAGTGGAAGGAAGCGGGGTAGGTCGGCCTAGGAAGGGTTGGAAGGGTGGGGTAAAGGAGGTTTTTTTTTGTGCGAGGGGCTTGGACTTCCAGCAGCATCACGTAGCGGTTTGATAGGAGTGAATGGGACAAATGGTTTTTAATACTTGACGTGCTGTTGGAGTGTGAGCAAAGTAACATTTATGAAGGGATTCAGGGAAACCGGCAGGCCGGACTTGAGTCCTGGAGATGGGAAGTACAGTGCCTGCACTCTGAAGGAGGGGTGTTAATGTTGCAGTTTAAAAACTGTAGTGTAAAGCACCCTTCTGGCAAGACAGTGATGGAGTGAATGATGGTGAAAGTTTTTCTTTTTCGGGCCACCCTGCCTTGGTGGGAATCGGCCAGTGTGATAATAAAAATAAAAATAATGTTGGCCATCTCCCACCGAGGAAGGGTGACCCCCCCCCCCCCAAAAAAAAAAGAAAACAAAACACTTTCACCATCATTCACACAATATCACTCTGTCTTTGCACAGGGGCCCAGATATGATAGTTTAGATGTCACTCCAAACAGCCAATATCCTAAACCCCTCCTGTAAAGTACAGGCACTGTACTTCCCACCTCCCAAACTGGGCAATACTTAAAACAGCTGTAAAATGTGGATAGGTTGCTTAGCGATATTGGTTATGAATTTTTTTTTATTATTTAAGAGGTACTGAACTAGTTACACTATACACACACAGATTTATTGCTATGTTATATGTGACTCAATATATGTGTGTGAGGTAGTGTACTTCCTGATGAAAGTTAACACAGTGCAAGGAATTTGCAGCACACTGCCATGCTTCTCTTGCACTTGTAGAATATTATTATGATTATTATTCTGATTATTATTATTGTTGTTGTTATGGGAAAATGCTCTAAATCTGTAAGGGTAATAAGGCAGCTAGGAAATGGAAGATAAGCAAATTTATTCTGAGTAGTGAGAGGGAAGCTCCAGTATTTTTATCCAAGTTTTACCCCTTCCCCTTTTAAAGGGAAGCAATTATAAAATGACCTACATATTCATCCTGCTCATTATTTGTTGAATGAACAATGGTATAAGCTAACAGGCAGTGAGAAAGACACATGTTTGTAGTGAAACCATTATGATGTTTTGTCCAGGACTGGACTTTATTTGGTATACTTGATAAAGTTCAGTCATGAACCAAATGCCATAAAGGTTCACTGCAAATGCAGTGTCTTTCGCACTCTTCATATTTGCCATTTAAACTCTTGGATCGTGTCTCCTCTTTTTCTGTGAAGCAATGAGGGCTCCAGTATTTTCAGTCTTTCATTGAACACGTGTTTTACAATTTGTCTTGGCTGCCTTTTTATAGCAAGTCTTTGAATCATCTCTATGTTATTCACATTTTGGTTTATATGCAGATGACTGCACTATTGCTGCATACTGCAATCTTGGTCTAACGTATACAATACATTTTTAGTATGTTATTTGTATTGCAAGCTTCTGGTGAACTGCTGGAGACAGTACGATGATCCTAGAACTATGCTTAACACCTCCTTCCACTTGTGGCTTTATTGCTGTGTGTTTATATGTGCATGCGCATTTCTGTTTTGTTATAGAAAAATAAAAAGAAGAAGTAGGGGAATTGGAATTGGTAGGAAAGGAGAGGAAAAGAAACAGGATGGGAATATTAAAAATTAATTGAAAAAATAAAATAAAAATGTTTGACAGCTGAAGTGGGTTGCTGCCAAACAATAAAAATTTACTTTGTGCTTTACCATATTGTATGGTTTAACATATGCACTTTTAATACAATGTTTTTAATGTTTATGATATTGATACTTCTAATATTATTATATCATTTAGTAGTAATGTTCATGTTTAATTATTATTTTATTTGTGTATAAGATTTGTTTTATATATGTTCAGAACTAGTGGGAAAAGGCTTAATTTTCTTATATTTAGCTAAATTTAAGCGGTTATATAGTGTAGTATATTTCCGTCCGCCTCCCTCACACTGTGTTTCTTCCTTCCAGGGCGAGAATGTCTAGGGGAAGAAACAAGAGAACGGGAGGCGGACAGGGGATCAGGGAGTGAGGATAGTGAGGAGGAAAATGAGGAATATGATAGAGCTAAAATAAGTATATCAAACAGTGGTGTAGTAAAGATACAGGGATACAGTAATCTGAGACAGAGGCAGATGGCAAAAAGGGCTCGTAAAGGTGGCGATGATCGCTGGCTTAGAGGGTCTTACAGCTGCTCTGAGTGTGACAAGGTCTTCACGACCAGGTTGAAAATGGAACGTCATCATCAACATGTACATCTAGGCATTGCTCCATGGACAGGGAGCCACTTGTGTGAGGAATGTGGCAAAACTTTTACTCAAAAAGTTGGATTGAGAGTCCATCGAATGCACAAACATGGCGATCCTAAACAATTTCCTTGTCATCTCTGTCACTATAAGGGTGTGACAAAAGCCAAACTAGCCAGACATTTGAAAAGTCATTCAAATGAAAAAGTCTATAAATGTGAATTTTGTGAAGCTTCATTGAAAACTTCTGATACTTACAGAAATCACATGGCTCTACATACAAAGAAAGGCAGATACCAGTGTAATGTTTGCAAAAAAGCTTTTCACCACAAACAGTACTACGATGATCACTATAGGAGCCATTTTGATGTACGAGACTACAGTTGTGACATGTGCCAAACTGCCTTTAAGACTAATAAATCATTACGAACACACATTAGGGGAGTCCATCTGAATGACAAACGTATAGTATGTCATATATGTGGTGCGAGATTCATGACGAACTATAATTTGCGAAATCACATGAAGAAGCATACACGTGCGGATCGTACAAATTCAAAATACAGATGTGAATTCTGTTCCCTGAAATTTCACAGTGATGCTGGGTTAAGTGGTCATAAATGCCTCGTTCATCCTCAAGAATACCAACCTATTCAGATCAGGATTGAATCCAACTCTTCATCACGGTCAACTCCAATAACTTCAGTCATGTATAAGAGAGTTAAGGATGAAGTAAAGGAAGAGCAAATGCTCTATACTGCAGATGTAGAACACATTATTGAAGAAGGAGAGACTGAGATAGTACCTTTCCAGAGTGAAGAGGAAATGATGCTCGAGGATGACTGTGTTGAAGCTATCGAGGCTGTTGTTGAAGATCACGGTGAAGACCAGCCCAGACAACATGTTAGCATTATATATGTGTATCACTGTAACAATTGTGGATCTATGTTTACATCCCAAGACCTCCTAGTATCTCATATAAAAACATTTCATAAGGGAAAAGTTTCATGAATATTAAAAGAGATAAGGCAAATAAACTAGTATTTCTCTTATATTTATTATACACTTACAGTATTTCCTTTATTCTCTTACATGTGTGACCCATATGGGCTTAAAACTTATTTTTAAAATAATAATGATAGTAATAATTAAGTGAAGGAGTTTTAATGTGGTAAGACTGGATCTTCCAGCAAGCATCTGTGAGCATGTTATATCAGAGTGGAGCAGTAGTGGGTTTGAGTTCTGAGGGTGAAAAGTACATACATTGAAAAATGAGTAACAATGTTGTAATTAGGAGGGCATTTAAATCAGGATCAGTGTGTCACTTCTTTGGATCATTCAGCCTTAGTAGGGAAACAGTTCATTTGTTAACCCTTAAACTGTCCAAACATAGATCTGTGTTTACGTGCATAGTGCTCTGAACGTAAATCTACATTTTATTTTACGTGATTTCAATTGTAAAAAGAAAAAACGTAGATATATGATCAGAGTGCTGCGCACATGAACGTAGATCTACGTTTGGACAGTTTAAGGGTTAAAACAAGCTCTACAAGTTTTTTTTTTTTTTTTTTTTTTTTTTATCTAGAAGTTTTATTTCTAATTCCATGGAAATCACAGAATGGGTGGGGCTTGAACCCATGGCAGGCGAGTCCTCAAACATGCAAGCCATTGTGCTAAGCATTCAGCACACCCTCGCTGTATAATCCGTCAC